TACACGAAAGAATACAAGTTAAAGGATGGAAAATACATTAATGGCATATGAGCTCACTCAAGTTACCTTGCTAAGAAATCACACAAGCATACCAAAGCAGGTCATCACAAGCATCGTCAAAGATAGAAATAAATCAACCAAAACATTTTCATTTCAAGAAGATCATGAGATCGTGAGAAGTGCACACATTACAGAAATTCAACTAAATACAAATGGAAACTGAAAAATACAACACTACACTACGGAGGAGGAGGGGCGGCAGTCGAGTCGGCGTTGCTCGAGCTGGCATTTGGGTCGAGCTGAGGGCCGGTACCAGAGGTCGAGTCGCAGGCCTCATTAAGTGGACGTCGTCGAATAGATTCAGCCATTGCGACCAACATGGCAGCTGGGGGAGTAGCATCATCAGGCAGAGCGAAGGTCTTCTACAAAATTTCCGATCGGCCTAAGGTTCTTTCGAGCTGCCCCGACCACCACTCATGCTCGAGGGGCAGAGTAGGATCCCCACGAAAACCAGAGGGAACCTTTGGTAAGGCATCCCAGATAACCCCCGGGTCGAGCTGCTCGAATTCATCCTCGGCGATCTGTTCGCCGGCCTTCTGTAGGGCGAACTGAAAGCAGTCCACCCCGAAGTCTTGAACCTCCTTCAAAAATTGTGGTGACTGCATAAAATCAGCCACCACTTGCGCACGATGTTCTCAGAGGAAGAGCTGCCCAGTTGTTGTCGCCCAAAGCATCTGCCTAGCTCGAATGGCAGTGGCATTTTCATTTCTCTGCTTCTCTTCAGCGTGGGCAGCCCTTTCTTTGGCCAAGGTAGCCTCCAGCTCAGCTCGGGCAGCCTCTGCCTGGGCTCGAACCGTCTCTGCCTGTGCTCGAGCAGCCTCGGCTTGCGCTCGAGCAGTCTCCATTTGTACTCGAGCAGCTCGCTCTTGCTCGAGTGCAACCTCTTTCTCCTTTAGCGCGGTTTCTTTCTCGGCAACCGCAACCTCTTTCACCGCAAGGGCGGCCTCACGCTCCGCGAGAACTTTATTCTTTAAGGCGAGCTCTTCATCAAGGGACTCAACCTTGACTTCAAACTCGGCCTTCTGTTCAGTCTGTGTCTCGTGGAGTTTGGTATTGTGCTGCAGGAGAGTTGAGTTCTTGTCCTGCAGAAAGCAAATGTTGCTCTCGAGGCTCTTGATGGACTTGCCAGAGCTATCTCGAGCTTCTTTGGCCAGAGGCAAGAAGTCGACCAAGCCCTGTAATCGAGCAAAATAGAGCAATTCAATCCATATATCGAAACAACAAAAGCAGGAAGGAATCGACGTAAACATGAGATAAGTAATACCTGGGCAAGCCACTGCACGAGCTTATCGCCAACTTCGGGCAGGGTGACGCTGGCCTTCTTACGGTCTTCCTCGAGGAGGGAACCCTCGAGGCGCTCGGCCACCTCATTCACGGAGGCTGATAAAAGGGATGTTGACTTTGGGGCCAACGGTTCAGGCCATTGATGGCCGGTACGCACTCGCTTCATGACAACTTCACCTTGGTCAGTGCGCGAGCGTTTCCCCAAAGCCAGCTCACGCCCCGTGTCATCTCGACTGCTGGACTCGACCAGTGCCTTGGTCGAGCCGGCGGAGTGGGTCTGAGAAGAATGTTGGTTGAGAGGAGCCTTGTCTGGAATTTTGGATTTGGAGGAAGTGTTGGGTTCAGAGGATTTGTCCGTGGTTTTAGAAGAGGTGGCATCCTTGGGATTGGGAGCCCGATGGTCGATCTTTTCGCGGTGGTCGGTTTTTTGGTGGCGACTGTCAGTTTTTTGTTGATGGTCGGTGGTTTTGGTTTGACGATCGTCAGATTTGGAGGTGTTCGAGGACTTGGCATCAGCGGCCGAGGTAGAAGACTACTGTGCTGTTCTGCCAGAAGGAGGTGGAGGAGTTGATCGGGTTTGCTGTTGGTGTTGTTGTTGCTGTTGCTGCTGTTGTCGTTGTTGTGGTTGGGGTTACTGTTGCTTTGGTTGGTGTTGTTGTTGTTCCTTCGATGGCGGCGGGGGAGGCGGTGGAGTCCCTTGTGGAGGAGATCTTCGCTGTGGCTCTGGTTGAGGTCCACCAGAACTGGCCGATCCCTCGTTTCTATCGCTGGTCGAGCCAGAGGCATCCCTGGACTTTTTCTTCAAAGGAGCCTTCCTCAGGGGAATGTTGAAGTTGGGCACCTCTGTAAGAGAATAAAGAAATATTAAGAAAGGATAATTAAAACAAACACAGAAGGGTGTCGGAGTACTCGAGCTATATAGTCGAAGATTACCTGGGTCATTCTCGATCCGGATAAGATCGAGGATCTCATCACTAGGAGGAGGACAAGTCTTGTGGGTGAGAAGACCACAATAATGAAGGAGGTTCTCATCCTTAAGAAGTGTCTCGGACGCAACGGACTTGGAGTTCCAAGTGAAGACCCGTTGTTCGAACAAAGGATTGGGAGGAGGGCTGAAGTCGCCTCTCGCGAAACCTCCTTGACCCAAGGGACGGATAGCCAAGGAAAAGGAGCATCGGGACGGACGAAGATAAACTTATCACTCCACTTGGGGAGATTGGAAGGGATATCGTTGATGAAGTGGGCGCCATTGCGGCTCTTCAAATAGAGGCCTCGACCTTGCTTAGAAGGGGCGTAGCAATAATGGAAGAAGTCTAGGACGAATTGACCTAGACAAACGCGACAAAGGATAATGAAGATGGTCATAAAGCGAATGGCATTTGGGGGAAGTTAGTGCAGAGAAAGCCCAAACCATTCACAAATCTGAAGTAGTTCGGGGCATAGAGCAAAGCGAAGGCCAAGCTTAAATTGGATCTCGAAAAAGGTATAACAGTCCCTCGGGGGATGATCGTATTTATCAGAAGAAGAAGAGCTGAAGAACGCCTAACCGAGAGGTTGGCCGATCTTCTCAGGATCATACCAAGGGTGGGAAAGAGAAGTAGAAGATGAACGCCTCGAAGAAGCTTTAGAGGGCTTTTTGGTCGAGGCTTTATGGGAAGGAGAGTTGGAAGTACCAGGTTGAGAAGAAGAAGGAGGAATGTTTGAAGAAGGAGGGTTGAGGAGAAATGATCTCGCCCTCCTCAGGCTCGTCTAAAGCACCGAGGGGAGGTCGACGGCGGCGGAGAGGAATGTTGTCCATAGTGTCCCCAGAATTAGAAGAAGCAATATGGGCGGTAAAAACACGGGTAGGAACGGTATCACCGGGCCGAAGGATAGAAAGAGGAACAACTTCAAGGGCTGAGGGCAAGATTTTAACTGAGTTGGAGGAGGTGGTCGAAGTAGCAGGATCTGAAAACAAAAAATAAAGGAACAATATCAAAAAAGGGAATTTTGACAAAAAAGGAAAGGGGAAAGAGGAGGAAGGTTTCCAAAATTAGGTTCTGCAAAAGGGGCGATTTTGCAAAAATTGAAAGAAAGAAAACATAAATTCCGGGAGAATTTCAAACGGGAGAGGACGAAAGTTACAACGATCAACAGGCGGACACACACATTCAAAACATTCAATCAGCAAACTCCAGACACCCAATTCGAAAAAAAAAAAAAACAACACAGAGAAGAAAATTCAAAACGTAAAATCTCAAGTATAAGAAGGGTGAAATCAGGCGAGGAACAACTTACTTATGATCGCAGACGGAAGAATTGATAAGGTTCGAAAATCGCAGGGAAATCGCCGAGGAGGATAAGGTTTTTGCAGAAAAGATTCTGGGCACAAGAGAGTTCGAAATTGCAAGGGTAGAAAAAAAGTCTGAAAATTCGCTAAGTACTGAATTTATACTTGGAAAGTTAAAGGGTTGGAAGAGCAGGACCGTTGGATTAAAGCTAGATCTAACGAGGGGAGCATTAATTAACACGGTACTCAAAATAGGCACGTTATGCGAGGAGGCGCTATCATTAAAGTGACTGACAAATGCGGCAGACGCGACGCGTGGCAGGAAAGTAGGCGTCGCAGAGAGGACATGTGACAGGTGACCCTATCTCTGACAATTAATGAGATGTTATTTGAAAAATAAGCGGGAAATTCATCAGATGGTCGATATCGGACACCGTGCTGTCCAGGAGGTCGATAGGCATAAATTAACTCTTAGATCGAGTCATTCAGACTCGACCAGAGTGGGGGGACTAGATGATATGGGATATTATACCCACAAGGCTAAACCGGTCTATTGACCGGTCGAGGAGGTCGTATCATGAGGAAATTAAAGAAATCGAGCAGTTAACCAGTCGACCAACAAGGTTGTCGACCGACTGATCCTTCGGCCAGGTGAACGATCGAGCAGTTCAGCCGGCCTCGATAGGTCGACCACTTCGAGGACTTAACACCACGCTGATCGGCCTAGGCACAGGCTCGTGAAAGAGCTTCTAACTGAATTCCAGGAGAATATTTACCCCATGTGCAGGGGGACACGTGTCGAGAAGGCAGTGGTTGATAGCGATAACCACCTCTGAAGTCCAAAGGGGATTGGTGCAGGCGATAGTGGCGACGGCTACCTCTGACACACGCGTATGGTATGTACGGACGGGCAGTTAGAGCAGACAGCTCATCAAAGTCGGGCAGCCCTAGGTCAGGTATCTCACCCCTATATAAAGTGGGTGAGCCTTTCTTCTTCAACACGATCATTCTATTGCTTACTCTTGAGAATTGATTGAACATACACTGACTTAAGCTTCGGAGGCTCTTCACCGGAAAACCCTCCGGTGTGAGAGTTCTTTGTAGGTGCACGACGTTCAACCGGTGAGAAGGAAGGCGATTATTCAAGTTCCAGCCGGTCGGGAAGTTTTGTGTTACCAAGGAGAGAATAGAATAAAGTGCAATTGTAACCCAAAGGCAAGAGACCTATTTATACTAAAAATCTTACACATCTTTGATATACATCCGATGTGGGACAACAATTAATAAAAAAACTAACACTAATTTCACCACTCTCTTCTCATCAAAGCTCAATTATTTTTCAACTAATCGTTTGCTTGCTTATTTGGTCATTTCCTCTCAAACGCAGGAATTAGAAACTGAGAATGTCAAGCTTTCAGTTCATCTCTCGAGGTGTGCCTGTCAAAAGGTAAAGACAATTGTGTTTGATGGCTATGAACCCCTACTTACAATTATTCATTTATATTCTTTATTTGTGATTGAATACTATGATCTGCAAATCGAATGTTTTTTGCCTCTGTTTTATGCTTAGCGGCTACCTGATTTCAAATCGGAGTACGCTGCCTTATGTAGTTAGTTAATTTATGATCATTATTTGATTTGGGAAAATACTGATTTAGTGATGGGGATTCTTCAAGTGGCTGTTGTTAATTCGAAGTGAACTGAATAATGTATTGAGAAGTATTATTAATTATTAAAAGCTCGAGTAGGTTTGACTTATGAAAGAACTGAGCTAGATATAATAGACTTGAAACTGCAGGAGTTTGTGTTGGATTTTGGGCTTCTGTGTGCTATGATTATGATACATAGTTTTCTTGTGCAAAATTTGGGGAGTGGTCAAACTAGTGCTTTGGACTGCACTCACTCGGTATTGGAAACAAAGGGGCAAAGAATTGATGAAAATGATATTAGAAACAGATCAGAGGAGCAGGTACTTATTTCATTTGGAAAACTTACTTTATTGTGTATGATGGAAAATTCTATTCCACCATTGATGGCAGTGATTACACGCTCTTTCAAACCACACATTTCACGCAGAGGAGTATTTGACATGGTTACTGAGTTTGTTTCGGTTATTCTCTCTCTCTCTCTCTCTCTCTCTCTCTCTCTCTCTCTCTCTCTCTCTCTCTCTCTCTCTCTCTCTCTCTCTCCTCTTTTTTCTGCTAGATATACGTAAAGGAGCTAATGTTTTGCATCATTCCCCTAAGGCGGCTCATTGCTATAAAGGTTATGTATTTTGGTCAGAGGTACATTATGCAATTTCCATTTATGATTTATTCGTTGGTCTTTGGTTTATCGTATACCTTAATAAGAATTAAGAATATTGGACTGTATATGGTTGTAGTTATGTACTATTTGATTACCAAGAAATTGCAAAGCTAATATTTAACATTGAACAAAACTTTAATCATGTTTTAGGCAGTATTAGCTTAGTTTAGTAGTGATCAGTGAACTCCATCCTAGTACTGTTTTCCATCTATGGTGATGGTGTATGGCATATTTATCCTCAATATGCTTACCAAGTTGGGAATTTTCTCCATCTCATATTTCCTTGAGTTGAGTTATGATTGCGGGTCATATAAATAGAACATCTCATGCATACATGCACGCATTTCTGTTCATTTTGACACAATATGCTGATCTACTTTTGACTTAATTTCAATCATTCGGAATATTTGAAGGAGGCGTATATTAGGAGCTGCTTCACATTTGATCTGCCTTCTTTACATCCTGATAAATTGTTGTATCGTGGACTACAGATTTTATGGTTTTGCCTCGGAGGCACAGATGGACTCCACAATAGAGGTGATTTCCGCCTCTTGTCTCTCATACATGCCCGCACCAACAATCTTCGTTTTAGCTCTGGTCTCTTACTTAAGATACTAGCTTATTGGGTCAAATGAATCAATTACAGGATGGTAGTTTTTAATTTTTTAGTCAGACTTTGCTTGCGATTTCATTATTATCTTGTGTGTTAGCCATTAACATAAAATATCACCATTGAGTTTCTATAGAAGTCTGTAATTGATTTTACATTTGGAGTCAAACCATGTAAGGAATGTTATTCTCAAATGCACTTGGATTGTACTCTCGTAAATTCATCTTCAGTAGCACTTTTTGAATATAACTGATTAATGGATTTTGGCATTTTTCTTCATGGTTTTTACGTCTTCTATTGATAACGTCTAGAGAAATTAGCCCTGTTCATTAAAATGTAATTCTTTTTTATTTAAATCTGTATTGAAATGCGATTCGTGCAAAAGAAATGAAATGAGATTTCTTATTATTTTGTTCAGTTGGAAGTATTTAAGGCTCTCGAGAAGACAAGGTTAATATCGGGTGATAAGAAGGAACTAAATTACTCTAGATGTGGCAGAACGGACAAGGGAGTTTCCTCTGTTGGCCAAGTAAGTGCATACACTTACGAGCCTTAGTTTCTTATATTATCCTCCCATTGTGATTGTTTAGTGCAGTTTGTCTTTCAAAATCTTTATTCTATGAGTAAGACGATGGGGATCAAGGTTTATCTTGTTTAAATTATATTTGAGTTCATTCGATTTTATTATTTATTTCTCAATTAGGATGATTATTATTACTTGAGTTTATTTTTTGTTGGGCAAGTTTATACTGGTATGAATATTAGTCTACAAATGTTAGTAAGTGGTTGAATAGAGTTTACAAATATAAGAGGTTTATTATCTTATCAATATTATTGGAAATTTTGATCCCCTGCCCACGGTGGGCAGTGCCCACTACTTTTTTTTTACATGAAAAACGTATTCTGAGAATACGTTTTTCAATTAATTTAATTGAAAAACATATTTTGAGAATACGTTTTTCATGTAAAAAAAAGTGGTGAGCACTGCCCACCGTGGGCAGGTGAGCGGGACTAATATTATTGGTATTAATATTGAGTCAACGTTAATAATATATAAAATATCTTAAAATCTATCATATGTTCTTCATTATTCTCTGTGGGGTTGAGCCGAAACAATATGATCTCGCATCTAAAGGGAATCTGTCAACGAAACAATTATCAAGATAGAGCACGAGTTGGACTAAACCAAAGATGATTGTTATTGTTGGCTTATCAGTTAGTAATTGAAGCTCGACATAATGCTTGGGGTTTTCTTGACCAACTTGTCTACGAATGTCAATTTTTGCAATCACATCAACTTTAAATGAAGTTGAATTAAGTTTCAGATTTTTTTTTTTTTTTCTCTTTCTCTAAGAGTTATTATGCTCTTTGCGAAGATTTTGTTTGCATGTGTAAGTTGTTTGGTCATTCGTTAAGCTCTTCTACGTGCATCAGTTGGTATAAAAGTGACATCGTACGGATATATAGCATTAGAGTGACATCATATAGTCGGCACAACAGGTGTTAGCCCTCCACCAGGGTTCAGAATCCCGACCAAGGTTTTTTACTCCAATGGTGACCTTTGATGATCGTTCAGTTAGCAGCAAGGCCTCTAGTGTGAGGCAGCACATTCCTAAGGAAGCGGCTATCACAATCAAGATATCCGTCGCGCGGGACTCAATCTATCGTCTCGTTATTTTTGGTATGAAGAGGAAATTCATTTTCTAGATAGCCTTTTTATCCCCTTCGTTGGATATGAAGAACTTCCTGATTTGAGAAAGATGGTGATTAACTGGTTATGATGGACCATCAATCCTTAACGAGCCAAATGGCTTTTTTTTTTTT